CGTAATATAGCTTAAAAGTCATATCGTATACTTTTATGATGCTTTTTTCCCTTTGTGGTAGAGTATAAATTAATTGCCATCCACTTTTTGTTTAATAAAAGAAAATAAAAAAGTATAGAGTGATATATTGGGTGAGTAAATTAAGACAAAATGTTCTTTTTTTTGGTGAACTATTCATTATATCAACATTGTGAATAGATAGATATTTAAAATTGATATTTATATGTATTTCTGTGGATTTAGACATTATTTTATTTGCGCTTAAAAACAATCCTTGAAGCATCCGTGCAAATTTGTCATATATTGAAATGTTTTTGTAAAAATATACAAAGGTAAATATTGCTGTATATTAGTGTGTATTGTTAAATTGGTGCATATATATATATATATATATATATATATATATATATAATGATTATTTTTCCTTGAGGTCTTTTGAAAAATTGTATATTACAAGCAATATGCACGATAGCTCAATCTGTGCAAGTACGTTCCATGGTTTCTTTTTTGCTTGTTATAGTGTTGCTGAAAACTATGTATTAAATTTAAAAACAAAAATTGACAAATACAATACACATAATAATGCAGATAAATTAAAGACATCCTTGCATGAGAATAAAACATGCAACTGCATAATAATCAGTGCAAAACACTGCAATACAATTATAGGTATAAAATTTTGTTAGAAATATTAGGCTACAGTATCACATTGCCCTTTGGGAGGTGGAAGAACAAGGTAAAGGGTTCGAAATGCATAGTTTAGGGTACAGTTCTGTTTTGAATCACTCGTCTCTGCTGTACGTGTTCAACAGAAACACAGAACCCGCAATGAGTCAGTGATTGAGTGATCATGTGCGTGAGAATGTGGTTTAGTTCAGTCTGTGCTGTTTATAGACCAGTCATAGGGCATATAGCTCATTTTGACCTTTCCTTCTGACAGCAGAGCCTGTAGAGTCCTCTTCTTCTGTGATGCTCCCATATGATCAAACACCCAGTTCAGCAGCTGAAAAAGAAAACACTAATGTGTTTAAAGACAGAACCAACAACCACTTGCATTGTATGGAAAAGAGCAGCTAGGACATTCTGCTAAATAGCTCCTTTAGTGTTACACAGAAAAAAAGAAGAAAAAACATAAATGTGAGTGCATTATTTATTTCTGGGTGAACTGTTGCTTTAAATGCAAACCACAAGATCATCTTCCATGTGCTTGAATTGAGAGTGATGATATATTTGAGTAATACCTTTTCATCAGTGCCTCCAAAATCTGCCTTGTACCACTTAAAGATCTGGCTGAGTTTCACTTCTCGTCCCACGCTGTCAATCACACAGCTGTCATCATTCTCCAGGAATGCTTCTGCTGCAGCACGCAACTGACTATCAATGTCCTGAAGTGACACATGCAGGAGATTTTACTATAAAACACAATATGCTTTACACTGTCAGAAAGAATGTATATACATTTATAGATATTGTAAATGAGAATACTTTGGGTATTAACCTGTGGTGTGTATGTCTTAATTGGAGGGCAGCCCTTTGCACCACAGTTCAGTGCAAAATGAATGAGAGGCTCAACATCAGGAAGTGCCACCTAATGGATGAAGACACACATTACTAATGTTAATAGCACTCACAGACAACTTTTACTCCAGTGTTTCTCAGCCTTTTTTGTCTTAAGTACCTCCAAAATTTCAGTACACTACTGTTCAAAAGTTTGGGGTTAGTGAGATTCTTTTATGTTTTTGAAAGCAGTCTCTTTTGCTCACCAAGTAATCAGCTTCGCATCACATGAATACATTACATTTTAAAATATTCTAAGGTAGAAAATAGTTATTTAAAATTGTAATAATATTTCACATGATCCTTTAGAAATCATTCTAATATGCTGATGTGGTGCTCAAGAAACATTAATTATTATCAACAATTGTACGGTCATATTTGTTTCATGAGTTTTTGTTCAAAAGAACAGCATTTATTTATTGTAATAATCTAAAGAACACTTTTCCAATAAAAAGAACCTTGGAATGGAACAAGAATGATTCCGTAGATGTTAAAATATTCTTCATAGAACCATAGATGCCCATTTAAAAATGTATTATATAATATATACACAGAGTGGTATATCCTCTTTTTGGGATACCTGCAGCCGAGGGTCGTTCCTGGAAAAGGGCTTCATGAGTTGTGCCACACCTTTTCGATTGCCTCTAAGCACTCCATTTTCAATATCCTGCAGTGTGAACACCTCACCACCAATGAAGTAGCTCACATAGTTGAAGAACTGGAAAACAACAGACCAAATGCACAAGCACTGAAAGCATTTCACATTTCCACTTTTTACTGTTGATCCAAACACAAAATCTCCACTTCTCTTACCCGATACCTTTGCCATATGTTTTTGGGAAAGCCCAGACGCAGGTTCCCGTGGATGACGAGGGAGTTGTAGATGTTGATAAAGAAAGCCAGTTTCTCTTCACGACTCAGAGACAGCAGCTCCACACGCTGAAGCTGGACAGCTAGATCACAGTACCGCTCGAAGCACAGGCTCCGGGACATGGCCTTGTAATCAACTGTCTAGTCAAAAGTGGAGACCCAGACAGTCACAATGACATGTACCTTTCTTATTTAAAACATAATGTGGCATAACGCTCCTCAGGTCATTCACCCGCCACAAACATCAAAACATATCAAGTGCATGCAGCATTCGTGTCTGTGGCGAATCCAATGAACATGGTCTTGCATCTGTTTGATATGCAACGAGTGATGAGATGGTGAAACGGTGCGTTACCTTGCCATCTTCAGAAAGATGATCAGAGTAGAGTTTCAGCGTCAGATTCCTCAGTGCCTCCGAGAGCTCGCAGGCTGCTTTGGGCAAGCATCACAAAACAATGAGAATAAGAATGACTGAAACAGTCAAACACTAAAGGTCATTTTTTATAACTAGATATTCGTTTCCTGAAGGAAATACCAGCACTTGTAATGCAGCAAAAAAAATTATAGTGTTATATAGGTATGTTTATGTTTTAGGTTTTGGTGTAAATGAAATGCAGGAATAAATCACATTTTAAAAGATATTCAAATAGAAAACAGTTATTTTAAATTGGAACAATACTTCACAATATTACATTTCTTATGTATTTTTCATCAAATAAATGCAGCCTTGGTGAACAAAAAAGACTTCTTTCAAAAACATTTAAAAAATCTTATCGACCCCAAACTTTAACATTAAATCTGATTCCCCATTGCATTTGTGCAGCAGGCATGTTAAAATGTTCAGCATCTTCAAAAACATATGTTCCACATTTAGTAACACATTTTGATGCAACGTGTGTAGACGTAAATGGAACGCTGTAATTGACACTCGTCATGATTAATTCATTGCTGCACCTGTAACCGCAACCTTGATTATTAATTTAAATAATTGTGAAGCCCTAATTACAAAAACTAAAAGTAGACAGCACACCTAAATATGAAAGTATAAAACCTGATAAATAATATTTATTATTATTTATAAATATTATTCTAAAAAGAATACATGATTAAGGTGTCTGTATGTTGAAAACTTGAAAAATTGACTGAAGTTTATACTCAATATTAGAGGTTTAGAACAAACTCCGAGCAAAATGATTGAAGAACATCAATACAGTGCTGCCTTACAAACACTTTAATAATAACAACAAGCAGGTAACTAATATCATCATAAATGATTAAAGAATCTTTGAGTGTAACACCAAGCTTCGTGCTTTAGAGACACATGCAAAACACAAACAGGTCTAGACAAGCACATTTAAGAGAAATGAAGAGAGACAGGGTTTCCAATGAGAAAGATGAAACTATAGCAGCTGGCCTAAGCCCTTCATTAGGCCGCATGCTGCCGTTTCTCTAGAGGTGAGGGCTGCGTTGGGAACATGCTCCAATAGCTTAAATAAGACGTTACTGTCATCAACTGCCTTTGTTTAGCCAGTCACAGAGTTCAAATGCTTCCTCACCATCCAACTCTGGGTAATTTCACCTGCTTCCTTCCTATCTACAAAGAGCGAGTGGAGCCAGAACAATCTATGAGAGCCAACACCAATGGCAAACATGGGTTAATAAACCATCCATTCTACTTTTCACAGTAAGTAAACATAAAAATTTCTTTGTGGGCAGGAACTCATCATTACTATTCAAGAACAGACTAGGGCTGTGTCTGAACACAGGGTTCAGGTTCGAATCTGAGACTATATATGTGACCTTGGACCACAAAACCAGTCATAAGGGTCAATTTTTTTTAATTGAGATATATGCATCATCTGAAAGCTGAATAAATAAGCTTTCCATTGATGTATGGTTTGTTAGGGTAGGACAATATTTGGCCGAGATACAACTATTTGAAAATCTGGAATCTGAGGGTGCAAAAAAATCAAAATACTGAGAAAATCACCTTTAAAGTTGTCCAAATGAAGTTCTTAGCAATGCATATTACTAATCAAAAATTAAGTTTTGATATATTTACGGTAAGAAATTTACAAAATATCTTCATGGAACATGATCTTTACTTAAAGGCACATTATAATTTTCGCCGCTAGAGGGCGCGTATTCAAAATAGACAAAGGCGTAGTTCTACAGTATTCCATTAAAAAATAAGAATTTTAAATTTTGATTTCACTTTAAGCAAGACAGGCTTGAATATAAAATTGTACCGTCTACTAAGATTATAAATGTCAATTTTTTTCCTTTATGCTAAAAAAAAACATTGTAGTCACTAGAAAAAAAAGTATTATTTTTGTAATATTTTTATTTTACAAAATATAATATTTTTAATTATCTTTTATTTTTGTATTTTCAGTTTTCATTTTAAATTTATTTTGCGTTTTAGTATTTTTGTTATATATTTATATATACATATATATATATATATAT